TGTCATTAAGTAATTAGTGTAGCACGACTCCTTCACTGTAATACCTAATTGTAATATGTTCCATATTAACTAATAAAAATTTACAGCGTATAAGCAATTTACAAACAAACAAAAAAAAAAAAAAAAAAAAAAAAAAAACTTACACTCATATATAAATATATGTGACATCTTCTCTGACTATTATATTGCGATTTTACTTATTTAAAATACGTATTTAAAATATGTATTTAATACATCACATGAGAGATATAAATATTTTTACAAATTAATTTAAACCGGTTTATAAAAGTTAATATTACTCATTTTATATTAATTTAAAAAAAAACTTTATTTAATTATAATTGCATAACTTATTTGTATTGACTTTGTTATTTAAATAATAGTCACAAATGTGGGTTAGAGTTCTATAGCCTAGTGGTCTAGGCACCTAACACTCTATAAATAAGATCGACAGTTTAATTATAGCTGATAGTAATTAATTTAATTATCTCTGTAACCTTCAGGGGCTTTTGAATGCGAAACTCTGTGGCGGTAAGACCATGTGAAGTATATATTTGGCTGATAAAAATTCTTGGAAGGAGTCCTGAGCCATGGAGAAGATCGGGCACTGCGTGTAACATGGATCATAAAAAGTAATACTGCAAAAGACTGTGCGTATGAATCTATGATTGGCAAGATAGCACCAACAACCCTAAGGCAGCATTAAGATCTTGATTGAGAGGACGGCTATATGCAATATATCCAGAAGTGGTGAGAAAAGTGGTGAACATAATAAGGGGCTGTGGTAAGAGAATGGCTTTACCAAATATAGAACACCTCTGGCGCAAGGAAACAAGAAAAACCAGTTAAAAGAAACTCCGAAAAGCATAGAAGCAAGTGCTCTGGTAGTACAAAAATAAAGACGGCCAGTGAGTAATGTGTCGCACAATCTATATAGGAGTCATGAGAGTATGATGAAACATGTTAGAAGTGCAGGTCCCAGGTTACTGGCTTGTGACAGTAATTAAATGAGGTACTTAACTCCTGTTCTAAGAATCTAGATTTCTGTAATACTATACCGATAGGGAGTACTATAAAAGAAGTGGTAGCCTAATTCGGTGGTATATGATGCGAATACCTGGATGACGTGAAATAACACCCTAGTATAGCAGCAGGTAGTTTAAGATATGAGTCTTATAACCTGGTAGCACCTGGTTTGAGATACAGATTAAGTCCTTAAAGTAGCTTCCCAAGAACACCAAACTAGAAGCATAAAGAGTATCCACTCAAAAGACACCAATTTGGAAGTAATACAAGAAACAAATTAGAAGTAATGTAATAAGTAATGAGAGGTGGAAGTTAGTTGGTAGATATTGTATAGTAGTATATAAGTGAGATATATATGATATAACTAGGTTTGGGAACTATCTGGCAAGGTTGGCAAATAACAATGTCATTTAAAATTTTTGTGACAAGTGACAAATTAGTGACAAATGATATAGGTCATTTGTTATTTTTATCATTTAAAAGTAATATAGTAAAACTTCGGGTGTTTTAGGTTTTAACCAATTCTAAAATAACACAAAACCTTAATAATCTCAAGATCTTAGCAATTTTAAATATAACCTATTTTTGTCATTTGTCATTTACCTTCTAAATGACAAAGTGACAAATGACAATGTTACAATGTCATTTATATTATTTAAAAGTCATTTGCCAACCCTGCTATCAGGTGATCTAGTAATTGGTCTAATTGCAGGGCAGTTACTAAGGAGGTAAAAGTCTCATATAGCAGGTTGCATATAGGTACCTAAATTGGTAACCGGGTAAGCTAATACATATAAAAATATAGATAGTTGTAAATGTACTCATGACATTTGTAACCAAAATACTTTAGTGTTAATCTAATAAATAGTATTGGCAAGACTGCCAAATTAAAAAAAAAAAAATAGTTGCAAATATGCAATTTACATTCTGCTCTAATATATATATTTCTGTAATACTGTACAGACATGGTTTTATTTGATACTAAAATAATTTTGTGTCATGCATTTCTGTAAAAAGCTAATATCGATATGCTAATTAAAGATTTATGATTTTTAAAAACATAATATGGTAAGCCTTGTTTTTTTATATATCACCTTTATATCGTCCTATCATATAAAAAAATTTCAACCAGTGTAACTTAGTTATAGTTAGTTTAAAAGCAAGTTGGTTTTGAATAAATAAATTAAGACAAGTTGCTGATAATCTCCATCGAGTTCTAACAGGATATTTAAAAGAAATTTGTTGACTATATGAAGCTAATTGATAATGTTTTAATATAGCTTTTGGAATTTGATATTGTCAAAAATATTTAACTATTATTTTTGCTTTTTTAAATATATTTGTACTCTATGATAATTTCATTATATCACTAATTAAAAGGTTTAAATTATATGCAACACAACCTAAAAACAATATTTCTAGATAATCTACTTCTAACAAACTCCATGCTTTTTTCATTACAAAGACATTATCTGTAATAATAGCTAAAATTTTTGATATACCTACTTTAATTATTATTTTTTCCAAATTCTGGGCAATTGCTTTACTATTTTGATGAATTTTATTAGTTGGATAAGCTGTATAAAATACTAGTTTAGGTGTTGTTAGAATAAAGTTAGTTCAATGTTCTTGAAATAGATTAGACCATCCATCTGATACAAGACACAAGTTTTACTATTATTAATTAAGGCTTTAATATTTTTTTTAGTTTCATCATAGATATTATTCAATAAAATTGTTGATAGCTTTTTTCTACTAGGTAATCTAAATGCTAGCTATGCTTGTTTCCATAATCTTTTAATTGAATCTATTTCAGATAAAAATAAAAATAAACTACATTGAAATATCGATTATGCAAATTCTAATTCAAGCAATATTTGTTCTTCTTTAGAAATATAATCTGATATAATATAATTTGTAATTCGGAATCTGCTTATATTTTTAAAAGATACTTTATTATTAGATACAGATAACATTGTTGTAACTAAAGAAGCAGGTAAAGATGAAAATGCAACTACAGTAGATGTAGATGCTAATGCTGCTACTGCAGAAGTGGATATATTATTACTATTTTCTTCTTTATCAGAATTACCAAAATAATTTTTTTTTCTTTTAATGGAGCTATAGCACAATTTTGAAAATGTGTATGTGCTGCTCTAAAAGTATCATTAATCTGTTATTGACAATAATTACACACTCTTCTTTTTTGTTTAAATCCAATTACATATTCTAGTTGAGTAAAATGAACCCAGATTGGATCTGGTAGTTTTTTTTTAAAGTTTATATTCTAAATTTTTGATTAAAAATTTTTATTTTTAAAAAAAATTCAATCAGATACTAATGTAATGACTCTGTTTATATAAGAACAATCAAGACAAATATTTGTAAAACTAGATTTGTACAAAAATTAAACTCATTTTAGTAAAAATTTCAAATAGAAAAATTTAGTTATACAATTTTATCTGGTATTTTTCAAATAATTATTACTTGACTAATTTAATAAGAACATGGCATAATAAGCTCAGAAAAATAATTGCCCAAATGAAGGCAAATCAGGCTTCAACTGGTATCATGCAATTCTGGATTTGAAATATATATTTGCAAATATCTGTTATAAATTAAGTTAATACCAGAATTATGTAATGCTAATTGAAGTCTAATTTGCCTTTATTCAACCTGTGTATAGTAGTCTAATTAAAGCTGATAAAATCAAATTTTAAAATTTTGTTCTTTAAATGTATATTAATTATCTAGATAACTTTTCAAATTATATAATTATACAACATTTTTCTATTATATATTACTCACAAATAAATTGTTTGGAATATCAAGATTCTTTTATTAGATTAGTATATTAAATATTGATTCTTTTATTAGATTAGTATATTAAATATTGATTATTAACAATATCTAACACTATATACTTCATTCGCATAGTTTATCTCTGCTAATTTTAAATATACTTAATTGTTGGTTTATAACTATAGTGTAGAAATTTTTTTACCATATTTTTTTTTTGTTGGATTAGAGCTAAGTTTTTGCTATTACAGTATTAGATTAGATTAACAAAGGCCAACAATACCAACTTTTTTATTAATATATAGAAGGAATTTTCATACCAGGAACAGTTTTATGGAAGTGAAATAAAGAGTATGGTTTATAGCCATGTTATGTTCGTATTGTATGTTCCCAACTCTTGTATCTGGTTGTCAGTGTAATCGTAAATTCTTTTTTCTACTTTTACAGGAATTTTCAGAAGTATTGTTTGAAATGCGCATTTATCCAATACTATAGTTGTTAGATGAAATCTAAGCCCCAAAATGATGAAACTTCAAATTCTGCTGACAAAAGATGAATCCCAAATTCAAAATGACAAAACCTTAGTACAAAAAAAATTCCTATAAGATCTAGCTAAAAAAACTAAATTAATGAAACTTTATGATAATAGTGAATTCCTACTTCTCTTGCTAAAAAATTACTAGTGAAATTTTGGTCTAGATAAAGCTATTAATAAAAATAATAAAATTATCTCTATAATTTAGATATTTAACCTGTTGAATGAGGCTTTTTATTTATATTTATTACTAAAAATATTTATTGACTTGTATATATATTTAGATTTTATAAAGCCAATTACAAAAATTATAAATAGCAAATAAGCTATTAGCATCTATGTTTAATGCCAAAAATATTTATTGGCTTGACCTGGCTTGTATATTTAGATTTTGAAAAGCCAATTACAGAAATTTTATAATTGAAAATCTGAAAACAATGTATATATATATCTCTTATTAAGTATACATTATTGGGCAAAAAATTGGTGAATAACAGTAATTTGGCAAATGAGCATATACTGCTTTGTGGCATGTGTAGCCAATCATTGCCAAATTACTATATTTGACAATTTTTGCCTAATAATGTTGTTATCCGGCAATTTATAATTATGATTGTTTAGGAGTTGCTTGCTGAGTTTTATTTTGAATATTGGAATAAATATAATTACATTATAATACATGAAAAAAATAACAAAAATATATTTTTTATGATCATATAAGTTTGTCAGATAATTTTTATTATCTGTGCTAATTTATTAATAAAAAGTCTTTTATTGATTTAGCCAATAGGTGTAATAATTTTTTAATTGATATCGATATACAGAAATATGTAATTGTGCTAATTTACTTAATTGATCAATTACTTCTTAAGTTACTTATTAAAATTAATACAATTGTATATTTAATAATATAATTGAATCGGCTGGAAAAATTCCGCAAATTTTGAAAAAAGCTTTTAATAAATCTTAAAATTAGTTTAGATAGATGTAACAACTCTAGCATTCATATCATATTAATAAGTATAGTTTATCAATTATAATAATTAGAGCTTAGAATATACTAAAACTTATTGGTTACTCATTTCTGATATTAGCACAACTACATTGCGCAACTACCTTATAAATAAAATTTAATATTTTAATTTAATTTTTTCTTTTTATATTACGCTCGATCATGAATTTTGATTGGTTAATAAACTTTTCTAGGGTGATGGTATTAGGTAGTTATACAAAGACTACCAAATTATGCGCATGCATGCATGCATCTATGCACATGGTGCCCATCTCTAGTTCAGTATATTCAGAGTTGACTGTATAATTATTATATTATTAGCAATAAAAAAAAAGCATAAAAAAATATAATTAAAGAAATTTTTTTTCTTTTTGTATATTAATAAAAAATTTGTTGTTACTAATTTATTTTGTCTACACTTACTATATTAATTATAATCTATTTTATATATAATGAAAAAGTATAACTCTTGTTTTTAATAATGCTTACTAGAAGCTTTTTACAAAAAAAATATATAGAACTTGTGCAAACTGTTTAGCTACAAAAGCTAAAAAAAGAGTAAACTCTAAAAATATTACACAATCTATTAATACTAATGAAAGTAGTCAAAAAGATTTGGAAATAATTATATTAAAAGAATTAAATAGTTTTGCTGAAGAATCAATTTCAAATCTTGAATATAATTTAGAACTATTTAAAATAAAAATTAAGATTAGAGGTTAGGGTTCTATAGCCTAGTGGTCTAGGTGCCTAACCCTCTACAGATGAGGTCAATGGTTCAATTATAGCTAGTGGTAATTAATTTAATTAATTATCTTTGTAACCTATGGGAGCTTTTGAATATGAAACCCTGTGATGATAAAACTATATAAAGTACATATTTGGCTTATAAAGAATTCTTGGAAGAAGTTCTGAGCCGTAAAGAAGACTGGGCACTGTGTGTTACATGGTGTCACAGAAAGTAATACTGTATAAGGCTGTGCATGTAAATCTTCGATTGGCTAGATAACACCAACAACCCTAAAGTGGTCTTGGGGATCTTGATTGGGAGGACAGCTAAATGCAATATATCTGGAAGCAGTGAGAGAAGTGGCGAATACAGTAAGGAGTTGTGGTAAGAGGATGGCTTTATCAAATAAAGGAACATCTCTGGCATACAAGATTGGAAAATTGAAAAACTAATAAGTAGACACTGCATATCACAATGTCGATGATAGGTGTCATGCTAATGTGCTATAAGTCAAGGTTCCAGGTGCTCTTGCATCACCAAGCTGGAAGTAAAATGATCATTAGTAGTATACCCATATAATATAATTATATTGGAAAGCTTCGGCGCCCATACTACAGTCAATTATACCAACTATAGGAGCATTGTATAAAGTAGGTGATATATTGCATATAACAACTAGAGATTTGATAAATCTGGCCGTGCTGTATAGTGCCAATACATAGAGGGCTATATATGTTGTACGTTGCTCTTAAATAACCATTAATTCAAAATTAACGTACTTGGGTTTAAAATTTATACCAATTAAAATGTAACTTACATAGTTTTAAAATTTAAATGATTATTATGTATGTACGTCAATTAAACTCAAGTTATATGAGTTTAATAAATTAGATTGATTAAAAAAAAAAAAAAAACTTTTAATATATATGTCGTCAATTAAACTCAAGTTATGAGTTTAATAAATTAGATTGATTAAAAAAAAAAAAAAAACATTTGTTGTTATCTTTCATAATATGGCTTCAAATTCTTCACTTTTTTCATATCTTTCTTTTCGAAGCTTTCAAAAATCGTTGATGACTATATGAATAATAGAAGAAATGAAAGACATATAATAAATCGTCCAAAGTATAATCATTGCCTGGCTATTTTACAAAACCCATCAAGTAAACATGAAAATCCAAACTTTAAATATTGGGCTCTTAATAGCTTTAAATTAATTAATGTTGGAATTATCAATGAACTGTATATTAAATCTGATAAACATAATTGTGGTACTCAAGTCTGCCCGATTGAAAATTTTTATAATGTTATTTGCAAAGCCCATCAAGACATAGAACATGGCAGGCAAAATAAAACTTGGTTAAAAGTAATTAAATTTTTTTTAAATAAATAAAATAAAATTATATGTGTAATATATTAATTTAATATGTATAATTAATAGATCCATCAAAGATATTGTTTTATACCCCAAACAATTGTGGATAATGCTGTAAGGCAATGTAATGTTTGTATTACACATCATGCAACTAAACATGTTCCAGCAATAAAACCATTTATTGCTACAAAATTCTTTGCACATGTTTAGGTAAATTTATTAAATTATTATGTGAAATTTAATACAATTAAATTCTAATTTTAATAATAAAATTTTTTTTAAGATCAATACTATTAATATGACAGCTATGCCAGATAGTGAATTTAATTATATCATACATATAAGAGATCATTTTACACGATTCTCATATGCAGAGCCTGCAAAATCAAAATTAGCAGAAGAGGCTGCAGGTATTTTTTTATGATTCTGTTTAAATTATGGCCCACCAACCATTTTACATACAGACAATGGTGATGAGTTTGTTGGAAATATTATAAAAAAAACTGTAAAACTCTGGCCGGCAATTAAATTTATACATAGAAAGCCAAGGCACCCACAGTGCCAAAGATCTGTCGAAAAAGGCAATGATATACTTCAGTCCAATGGATGGAAGAGACTAAACATAGTGATTGGAGTATTGGATTATCTTTTGTAATATGTGTGTATCTTTATTATATATAAAATTCTTTATGATTTTATAACAAAATTATTTAATTGTATAAATTATAGTGGCAATGAATATTCAAGAATGTAAAGCAACTAAAGCTACACCATATCAATTGGTGTTTGGACAAGAAGCATGTTCAAATTTATCAATAATTTCTATACTTTATCAGCAAAATATTACATACGAAGAAAATATTCTATTAGAGAATCTACCATCTAATGATGATATTCAATTGTCTAATCCTCCTATTCACAATGATACTCAATCATCTAATCCTATACATAGTGATACTCAATTGTATAATTCTATTTATGATGATACTCAATTATCTAATTCTACTTATGATGACATTTAACTATCTGATATTACTTATAGTGATATTCGATTGTCTAATTTTATTTATAAAAGTAATAATTAATTATTTTTTTTTTATTTTTTTTTTTTACTGTAATTCTGCAACACTAATTATTTTATAAAATTTTAGCTTCAGAACTTTTAAACCATAGTAATAATAATAATGTAATTGTAATCAGTGATGATGAGGAAAATGATTCTGAATATAATTCTAATCGACAAGAAAAGGGTAAACAGGTTAAACGGGATATAATTGATGATATGAATTCAAATGTATTTAATTAAATTTTTTTATATGTTTATATATTGAATAAAATTACTTTTAATTTATTAATATATGTTTTATAATTTATTAGCTTTCATTGGCTTATAATAATACTATAGATTTAGATGACGAAGATTTTACACCAAGTGAAGACAATAATATAGCTAAAGATTTATCCCCTATACCATCAAGTTCATTATTTGAAAATTATTCTCGTGCAAGTTTTAGTCAACATGCACAATTAAGAGAGACAGCAAATCAACATGTTACTCAAAACCATCAAATGATTTATAATCTTATAGAAAAATGATATAAAACTAAAAAATATGTGTTAAATTTTAAACCTGGTGATCTCGTAAAGATTCAAATTCCTGAGATTGATAGGCTAAAAATGGATAGACGATCAGTACCGGGTAAGGTTATCCAAAAAAAACTTGTGACTCATACCAAGTTGGAAGCAAGTTTGGAATTTTGGATATATGGTTTTTAGCAAACAAATTAGAATTCTTAGAAACTGATGAATTTCTCGAACTTGATATAATTCTGATGGGCAAATTTATTTCTTTACGAAATGCCAGTGCTCAACAAAACTTAACCCGACCACTAAGACTACTTAAAAATATCACAAATAAAATGTTCAACCAAGAAACTGAACAAAGCTCAAAGAAAAATGATGGCTGTCATTATAACAAAACAAATTGTGAAAGTAGGAGTTGTTCTTTTCGTAAGAACAATACTCTTTGTACTTTTCGTTGTGGTTGTATTTGCTAAGGTACATGCAAAAATCATTAAATTTTATTGGACCACTTTTTTTCTGTTGGTTTTTAGATTGCGTAATGTAGTGCTTAGCAATTGTTTAATCTCAACATGTGGTAACAATTGTAATGGAGGTTAATACAATAATTAATAAAATTAATTTTTTGTGTTGCGAGTTTTTTTTTTTTTTTTTTTTTATTATTTATTTATTTTATTTATTTGATAAAATCATACTGATACTGATTAAAATATGAAGTAATTTAATTTACAATTTCGAAGCTATGTATGTCATTTTTAAAATGACAGAAATTTGAAAGTGACGTCTAATATATATACCAATATGGGAGCAAGAAAAGTGAAAAACTGCCAGAATAAACCAATTTGGGAGAAGCTGCAGGAAGTAGATAGGGGAGTGTAATAATATGAAAATAGGTAACAATAGAAAATCTTGTATAATAGTACGTAATTGAGGACTAATTAGAAAGGTTGAAATTGAGATATGGATTGTGTTATAGCTATACTCCAAAAGGTGGCATGAGATACGAACACAATAGTAGTAGTTAATATGTACTAATTAGGAAAAAAATTATGGAAAATAATTACATAGGTAGGACATGTAATGGTGGGTTGCTCCAACTGACCCTAGCTTGAAGTTGGCTTGAAATAGTTAATGGAAAAATAATATAGAGAAAATAAGAAGTATAATACCACATTGGGTGACTAGTAATAGTAATACAAATGTAATTAGAAACTGTATATCAATTGTTATGTAAAAAGGTGTTAATCATAACTAATAAAGTTTCTACATTAGCAATATAAAAATAAAAAAATAAAAATTGAGATTACTAATATAGAGGCAATATAGTCTTAAATTAATAGCAAAAATAAGTATTAATAAAATAAAAAAAGCAATAATTATATTTAGATATGTAGTTTAAAAATTTAAATCAAAAAATTTAAATTTAATACTTAAAATAAAGCACTAAAACAACACTATATATTTCAACTTTATTTAAAAATATTAGTATTTTTTATTTTTTTTGCTTCTAGTCTAATAAAATTGTATATAAATATAAGAAATCAAATTATAAAAGAATAATTCAATTTGAGAAAATTAATTATTTACATTATATTTCTGTAGCAAAAATAATTATAAAACTTAGCCATAATATACTTTATAACTTACTAGTTAATATTGCAATACTAAAAGAAATTAAACAAGAATTTTTTTTTTTTTTTTAACAATTTGGCAATTTTGCCAATACTTTATTAGGCTAAAATATTTAACTCATGGGTAAAATATTATTTTCTGTTAAAGTTATCTAAAGCACCACCTAAGTTACAAGTATTAGCTAACTTGGCTTTTTGTAACACCGAAATATCCAAATCACCCATGTTTGATTTGCTATAGTAAAGTTTATCTCCATACCAAAAAACCCTGCAAGTAAATTCTTTGTTACTTTACTGAATGGTATTTACGGCCTATCAAGACTGCCATCTTTTCTAAACCTTCTTCCTCTAGCTTCACGAGCAGAAGGATTTATAGTTTCCAACTGACTTATGAAAAAAAAACTAATACTAAAAAGATAAAGAGAACAATATGAAAAGGGGAAATAAAAAAAACTACCTAAACAACAAGAAAACAAAAAAAATGAAAAAATGAAACAAGAAGAAAAAGACAGAAAAAAAAACAATCTATAAAAACACTATTATAGCCCATGCCAGGCAAAAGTTGTAAAAATTATATACTAAATTTTAAAAATCTTGTATATCTCTAATATAAAGCTAAGCCTTATCATTAAAAGTTTCTTCTAACTTTACTATCTAGTCCAGTTTGGTTCATTAACCAGAGCGCCAATTGGTTTGTCACGTAGTGTAGGTCATTATTGCCAAAACAATCCCGTGTTTATGTCCTACTTCATCCGTCTAAAAATGAAAAGTGTAAACAATGCCGATCTTTTGGAGAGGGTAAGCTGAAATGCTCACTTTTTGTTGAAAATTTTGGTGAGGTTGACAAAATATGAGAGAGAGAGAGAGAAACACTTGAAATTACTTGAAGGAGTGTAGATTTTTTCTTTTAACTAAAATTAACATTTACACTGGAGTCTGCACAGTACTTAGTCTTTTTAGTAAGTGATAAACTTTGGGCTTGTCAGCAAGTAGCATATAAGAACTACTTCTAAACAACAAGTGTCATGCCTGCAGTAAGTAATAAACTCTAAAACTGTCAGCAGATAGCATATAAGAACTATCTCTAAACAACAGCTGCTGACTTAGGGTCCCTTTTTTCACAACTTACGTTCAAACTCTATGAGTTTTACACTAGTGTATTGTATTTTTTCTTAGTAAAAATTTTTTGAAAAATTGTAGTCCAAATGATCATCGGAAAGAGTTAATTAAACATGAAATTAAAAACAAATATTTTTTATAATAAATTTAATATTTTAAATAGAGATGATTTATATATTATACATGTGATATTGTCACTCTTATAAGATTAAGTATAATATAAATCAATTCAACTAAAATAAAACATACTATTTTGTATAGTTAGGGTTAAAGTTAGATAGGATTAGAGTATAGGTGAAAAGTAGTTTTATAGTAAAATTTTGCAAGAAATTTTTTTTTAAAGTACAAAAGCTAGTTTTGTATATAAAATTTTGAGTTATAGATTATTTTTGATAAATGAATATTTGTTTTGAATTTTCTTAATTATGCTACATTATACCTAATTTTGAATTTTTATTGGTTGATCATATAAGGGTGACACATTGCAAAGGCAATAAATAAATATACTCTTTTAATATTATAGCTAAACAAATCTATTATTATAATAATTACCTATTGCACTAAATATCACTCATGACTATCTTCATCATTATTTTTTATATATAATTAACTATATTTATAATAATCATATTGTGATTGGGAATCTTTCTATAGAAGATTTCTAGTTTTATATTAATCATTGGGAAACTCTAATTTTTACTGCTTAATTTTTATTTGAATTAATTTCTTTTTTGTACAGTCAACCCTCCATATAGTTACCTTTCATATAATCACATCATATGTAATCACATTTTTATTTAGACCAAACTATGATTTAATTTATAAGAAAAAAACCTTCATATAAGCACAACCCCTTTATAAACACATTCTTAAAAAAATTTACTATATGCCCAACTGTGTGATTGTATGGAAGAATGACTATATTTTTACATTTTATCTAAAGAACTTTAAAAGCCAAAGTAAATAGGCACAGTAAAATAAAGCTAAAGAAAGGCACAATAAGAGCAAAGTGAAAATAAGAGTTTGAAAAAAAGATAAACGTAGAAGTAAAAAAATAAAAACAATAAAAATGATATAAAAATAAAGTTAAATTTTTTATAGAGACCCGTCTCCATAGCAAACCTACATATAGCAGCCAATTATATTTTAAAATTAATACAATTTTTTTCTATATTTTTCTTATTTTTTATTATAAAATTTTTAAAATTTTTAACTAATTTTAATTTGCCAATAGTAAGCAACTTATTATATATCCACATGCTCAATTTTGATTGGCTATTCATATAGGGTCGCCATGGCGATCTGTCACCATAAACTAATACTCAAAAATAAAATAAAAATAAAATAAAGCCTATAAGTTAGTAAAGCACAATACAAATATAAATATAAAATATGTGTAAAAATAATAGTATAGTAGTCCAATTAATATCTAGTGACATGTTCCTGGAGATTATTTATTTATTTCATATAAGGAAATTATCCCTTAAATTGTAACACAGGCAAATTTGCCTGCGAAGATTTTACTAATTTTTTTAATATTTAAATTTTTTAATAAAATT